GTAAATCACAGTAAAGCACCCAATATATTTTAACCCTAAATATCCTGAATCGTTTTACAAAAGTAATTTATTCAATAAATAAATGGACAGAGACCACAACCCCCCCAATGTTAGACCTAAAGTTACACCCTTGCTTGGTCTAAACCCATACTGACTGTAACTTAATATATTCTGCTTATCAATGAATTTGTCCAATCTTATCACAAATATTTCTCCAAAAATTGTGGTAACAGGGATACTGGTCTGTAGTTGTTAAACACGTTTTTCACCATTTTTAAAAAGAGGAACTACCTTTGCTATTTTCATGTTGTTTGGAAAAATGCCAGTTGAAAAAGATAAATTACAAATGTATGTAAACGGTTCAATCACAGAATTCATTATGTCTTTTACTAACATCATGTCCATGTCAGCCCAGTCTTTTGATCTCTTGTCTGCAAGATTTACTTGTTATTACAACTGGTAATACTCGTTATTTCTTCTTTGTCCGTTTCATAAATAAATAAACTATTTACACAACCTGTTACAGTGTGGTTAACATTTCTAGGTATTTTAGATGCAAGACTTGGGCCAACATTCACAAAATAATTCATGTTGATCATGAATTTCAATGCCATTTTTAACAAAATACTGTGGCGTACCTGATTTTACTTCATGATTTTTCAAAACACTTTTCATTATTTGCCATGTTGCTCTTGTATCACCATTTTCTTCATCTAATAACTTACTATACTGTTATATAAAGTTAGTTGTTGCGTCAATAAAATTAACAGGCTTGAGTTTTCAGAAATGACTTGTCCTAACAATAAATAAATTTGTTGTTTTTATTTGTATGAGTCATCGTTCACGCTGTTATTTTTTTATTTTTCTGCTTCATCAGATTTTATTCTTATAATTTTCAAAATATTCAACATAGCATGAAATGCATTAAATTTGGTTAGATTTATTACTCTAATCTAGCCTTATAATAGTTTTAGCTAACTTTTTTCTAATTTTAGCTACCATTCTGCTGTTTTAGCAAATCTTTTATGTGTTTTTTAAACTACTCTTAGCTGCAGTTTTCTGTTTTAGCTAGCACTTTGCTTCTTTTATTTAAAGTTTTAATATGTGACCTTATGCTACAATTAGCTACAATTCTAGGCCTTTTAACTTGCCTCGTGTTACATTTAGCTATTAGCTAGCGTTTCCTTACTTTAAGCTAACTTGTTGCTACTTCTGCTAATCTGTTACTTGCCTCTTAAAATATTAAGATTGCAATAAAAAGTATAATGTCATAAAAGACAAATTGAGTAACAGTAGGTAAAACATACATGTATAATTATTGTAAATAACAAAATATTTACAGCCTGGGRTGAACTTAATCTTAAAAAACTTAAAGCACAAAGTATGTACCTAAATGGGAAAGAGAAGGAGTTAAATGTACATTGAAAGTGGAGACATGGCAAGCGCAGGTAGTAAGACTAGAGACGGAAAAAGAGAGTGAAGATGAAAAGAAAAGAGAAGGTTGAAGATGAATTGGCACAGGCCAAAGTGTGGTTAGATGAAGCACAGATCAGAAGGACTCAAGTAAGTGAAGCAAAAGCTAGAAAAGACAAAGCAGCGATGTTTGTGCGTCCAGAAGATAATGAGACTACTTACAAACCCAGAGACAGGCCTCCACCCTATAATCTAGACCCACAGGTGGCCACGCCCAGACCAGAGTCACAGCAGACACTATATCCAGCAGTCCCAACCGAACCAACGCCCCGCCCAGGAAAATCAGATGAAACCCACTCACGAGGGTATGACACACGTGCAAAAGCTGCAGTGAGAAAACTCCTGAAAGATGAACCCCAGAACTCCCCTGAGGTCATGTTAGCCGAAACAGTACCAACCTTCCCTCTCATCCAAGTGGCCAACCCAAATCCAAGGGACACTAGGGACCCTCTTGAAAAGGTCACTTATGTTTTCAGACCTTGGACTTTGGCTGAAGCTCAGGCTGCAGTTCAGGAAGTTACTCCTCCACGTGAGGATCCAGAAAAATGGGCAGAGCATATGATGGGAGTTATACACTCCTACAGACTGAATGGCCATGAAACAGGACAAGCAATGCAATCCTCTCTGGGTAAAGATTAGGCTAGAGTAAGGGGAGATTACACAGGACGAGACCGGAAAGGTACACCATTCCCATATGACACGGACCCCACTGCCGATAATGCCCTGAATGCGGCCTACAGAACGGCTGTAGAAAGCCTCATAGGAAGATTATGTGAGACATTTAAAAGAAAAGCGAACTACTCAGACTTACGAGCTGTCCAGCAGAAGTCTGGAGAATCATGTGATGACTTTAGGGTCAGGTACGAAGCAGCCTTTAAAATACATAGTGGAATCCCTTTCGAGGAAAATGAGCATAGCGCTTACCAACAACAACTTAAACAAGGCATACTAGAACAAAGTAGACCAAACCTGAAGAAATGGGTAGAGACACATTATTTGCTTTTTATTGTGTCTGACGGTGTTGACAAATCAAAGTAATGACTGGGAAAATGTCTATTTTATGAAAAAACTTAAATTTGGGGAGGTTGCACCAGTACATTGCTTAATAGCTAAGACCTTGGTGTACAATGATTTACTTTCAGATTTGGTAATTTAACAAACTATTTTTTCCCCAAAAATAAAACCTGTTTTTGCCAAAGTTCCAAGAATCAGTAAGTATTATGTTAAGCCTGCCATCTGCTGGATATGAGATGTATGAAACATTTCACTGTCAACACAAGGTTGAAAAAATTGTAGTCAGTAAAAAGTTCAGTTAAATATAGATTACTYTTGATAAAAAGTGTGCGAAATAAAATGCATTTAAAGTTGAGAGATCTGAAACCTAAAAATCAATGCTACAAACAGAGAAACAACCCGGTCATTTAACTGTCCAATTAAATTTGGATACTATAAATCAAGAACCAATAAGATGCTCGTCCTGCTCTGATTGACAGCTTGTTGGTCCAATAAAATCTGTCTTCAACCGCCCGTTAGGGTGTTGACCTTCCATTCGGTTCAAATTTGCATTCGGTGTTGAACTGTCGGAGTGAGTGGAAGTCATCTGGCTAATTTTAATCAGAAGAGAGAAAATGAGTGAAATGATTCAGCTTCAAACAAGCAGCAATCAAGTCGGGACAAAGGTTAGAAAAAACTTTACTGCAAAAATTAACTCTTAATACGGTGAAGGCGGCATAAGTTAGCCTAAAGCCAACGGTTGTCGGTGGTTTGCTAGGCGAAGCTAGTTGGATTTAGCAACGGTTATTTTATTATTATTTTTAATATGAGCTGGTTATCGTGGCCTGGACAGTAAAATTAACTGGTAGAACACGCGGGCTATGTTATTAGCGTTGTAGCGGAATTAGCTTGCTTAGCAAAAATGCTAACTAACTGGCGGTTATTTACTTTGTTGTCAGACAGCCCGTACTTTGTGAACTGGCTTCCCAACAACGTCATGACGGCCTTCTGTGACATCCCTCCACGCGGTCTCAAGATGGCTATTTGGACATCTAAATGTGACCTCGTTTAGACGTCAATATTGAGTGCAATATTTCAATGTCAGACCTGCTTTTCTTTTGGACATCATGTAGACATCCAAAATGGGTACAGATTTTTTTATATTAAAAATTTGATTAAATTTGTTTATTGAGAATATTGTTTTATTCTAAATTATGTTGAATGCATTTCCTCATCTTTCTTTCTTTCGTAGTGATCAGTTTTAATCAGTTTTTAGAGGTTCATGTTTCTCTCAGTAGGTGGCGGTACCTGCAAAATTGTTTGTTTTCTGCCATTAGAAAGAAGAATTGTATTCGCGGGCTGAGAACAACGTGAACGACCTGGTGTCAGAGTATCAGCAGCACCAGGACGCCACCGCAGAGGAAGAGGGAGAGTTTGAGGAGGAAGATGAAGAGGACGTGGCCTAAACACCCAGTGATTTTATTTGAGGCTTTAAACCTGATCAAAAAAAAGAAGTTCAGTTTAAACAATATAAAAAAGTAGTATAGTGTTCAGTGAATGTTCTGTTCTAGAATTTAATAAAGCTTTTTGACCTGGTGATACAGCGGACGTGGCCTAAACACCCACAGTGATTTATTTGAGGCTTTAAACCTGATCAAAAAAAAGAAGTTCAGTTTAAACAATATAAAAAAGTAGTATAGTGTTCAGTGAATGTTCTGTTCTAGATTTAATAAAGCTTTTTGACCTGGTGATACAGCGGACGTGGCCTAAACACCCACAGTGATTTATTTGAGGCTTTAAACCTGATCAAAAAAAAGAAGTTCAGTTTAAACAATATAAAAAAGTAGTATAGTGTTCAGTGAATGTTCTGTTCTAGAATTTAATAAAGCTTTTTGACCTGGTGATACAGCGGACGTGGTCTAAACACCCAGTGATTTTATTTGAGGCTTTAAACCTGATCAACAAAAATAAGTTCAGTTTCAACAATATAAAAAAGTAGTATAGTGTTCAGTGAATGTTCTGTTCTAGAATTTAATAAAGCTTTTTGACCTGGTGATACAGCGGACGTGGTCTAAACACCCAGTGATTT